GCAACGCTTGGCCACTAAGAAAGGGCTGCGAACCCATTTCAAAGTGTGAAACAAAAATCAAGACACAATTAATTGCAAGACGTTTGTTAAGACTAAAAAAAAAAAAAAAAAAACAAAAAAAAAAAAAAAATCAAATTGAATTTTTCTCAAAAATTTGTTGTTTTTCCTCAGCTTCTACTGTTTTTTTTTTGTCTTGTTGCAAATTGAATTGCGAGTGCTACAAGTTGTAGACGACGATTTGTAAAAAATGCAAATGTGCGCCCAAAGTCGTGCGGCTGGCTGGCCGTTTGGCCATTAGGCGCAGTTGCCACCAACCGCGACCACCACTTCCCTCTACTTGCCTCCAACTGCCGCCAGTTGCTGCCACTTGCTGCAGCCATCATTTGTTATTTGCTGTTTGGTGGTAGCTCGCTAGTTCAACGGCCAAGCAAAACTGGCAACAGAGACTAACTTGGCCATTTGATTTTATGCACACACACACACACACACACGCCCAGACAAGTCTCTTCATGGCTTATGTAATGCTTGACATACCCTCTTTCAAATAGATAGGGTATCTTCAATTTTAGTCTGATTTGATTAGCCAAATATCGCTTCAGCTAAATATCGCTTTAATATCAGTATATGTATTTCCTCTTCATACCTAAAGATATAAGAGCCATTTGCTAGAAAGTTTTCTAGCAAATTTTGTAGGAAATTTTCTGGGACATTTTCTAGGCAATTTGCTAGGAAATTTTCTAGGACATTTTCTAGGACATTTTCTAGGAAATTTTCGAGGGAGTTTCTAGGAAATGTTTGAAAGAATTTGTTAAAAGATTTTCTAGGTAATTTTCTACGAAATTTTCGAGGAAACCTTTTGGGAAATTTTCGAAGACATATTCTAGGAAATTTCTAGGACATTCTCTAGGAAATTTTATAAGGAATTTTCTATGTTTTTGTTTTTTGAGAATTTCCATAAAATTTCCAGGATATTTTCTAGACAGTTTTCTAGGGAATTTTCTGTCGAGTTTTCTAGGAAATTTTTAAGGGACTTTTCAAGGGAATTTTGTAAGGAATTTTCTCGAAAACTTTCTAGTTAGAGCTCCATTTCGTTGCAGCATGTTATGAACTTTAGTAAAGTTATAAAAATTATGATTTAAAGTTAACTTATACATATTTTTTGTACTTAGAGCTCCTCTATAAACATATATATATATATTTATAATATGACTTATCTACTAAATATATACAAATACATATATTTTTCAATTATTTATTTATTTTTTTAAATTAATATTACAATTTTAATTATTATTTAAAAAAAAATAATATTACAATTTATTTATTTTTATGTATACTCTGCTTTATAAAGTCTAAGTGACTCCATAAAAATAATTCTATGAAAAAGACTAAGTTTATCAAAGGAAATTCTTTAAAGCTTTTCAGCCTTCGCATCGATAACTATCGATTTGTGAGTCTGCCATTCAGGTAATTAATCGAGCCACTTCAACACTTATTATAGCCCGACTACTTCGGAGCTATCCACAGGGTATATCTAGAGAGTATGGCTGGAGTTTTCCTCCGACAGCCGGAGCCACTTCCACTTGCCTCGTCAGGCTGTGTTTATTCAAGTTTTGTCTTTGGGCTGGCGGTGCTTTTGGGGCGTCCAATTCGGAGCTGGCTGCTCAAAAATTTGCCATTATCACCTATCATTGGCGCTTGGCGCAGGGATTTGTGTGTGCGCGCCATAAAAAAAAGGTGCCATGCAGATTGGCATCTTTGTAGCTGGCTGTTTGCTTGGTTTGGTCTGGGCGCACCTTGAAACGGGGGCTGGGCCATATATTTTGTTGGCCCATATATACACACGCGCAGGCCAAGACACTTTATTAACACACACGCACACACACTCGCACACACACATTGACAAATACAAGCTTAACTTTTGCCAATGTCCTTAACCATAAATTTGCTTTGGTAAATCCTCATTGTCGTTGTGTGATTTAAACTTTTGGAGCAGCATTGGCAGGCCATCCGGCCGCCATTGAAAGCCCAGGCACAGTGACAGTTGGGTGGGGGGAAGGATGAGGGGAGGCGGAGGGGCTTCCAAATGGATCCACGACAGCCGAAGAGCGGCTAAGAAAATTGAAATGAAGCTGCCTGCAGATGCCAGTGGCCATAGTCCCAGCGGAGACGCCAAATTTATGATAACGTGCGAAAATGTGAAAAACATCGACGGTGCGGGCAACTGCAGAGCGGGAATGTGCAGAGGGGGGCGGGGGCCGGGGGGCGTGCTGCAGGACAGTGCGAGGTTTGCTTTATGGACTACTGACCGACGGGCATGGGTTAATTGACTTTGGCTGCACACGCGACTTGGCGCTGCTTCAATTCTTGTGACCGGAAAATGCAAAGTGCTACGGAGTCAGGCCAGCTGGGAGCTAAGCGCTGGATTGTTGGGGTGGGTTGGGATGGGGTGTGCTCGATCTATGGAGCATTGCGACAGCTAAACAGGGGCTCAACCTCGGGGGCGACAAGTTCATTGAAATTGGCACAATGCTGAAGGCTCCACCTACTCGCTTTGGCATCCAGTTCAACAGATTGACAAACAAGCCGCAGCCAGCCAGGCAGGAACTACATCTGAGTGCAGCTTGTTTGGCTGCTGCTGTGTGCGTGTGTGTGTGTGTGTGTATGCTAGTGTATGTGTTAGTGTGTGTCTTTGGCGTTACGTCTGCAAGTCGCTTCGTCCGGCTCTATCTCTGACTTTGCGTGTGCTGCTGCAATTTGCAGCAAGGATTTGTTGTTGCCTCAACTTTTAGCTGTTGTTGATTTTGATACGAGATCTCAGTGGAGAGCTCCGGCTCTCTTACAATGTTAATGAAAAACATAGTCAGGCAGTCAGTCAGTTAGTCAGTTAGTCGGTCAGTCTGTCTGTCCGTCCGTCCGTCTGTCTGTCTGTCTGTCTGTCCGTCTGTCTTGGTTGCTCGCTTCAACAATTGCAGCAACAAAATCCATGCAAATAAATCCAACAGCTGCAACCACAGACGCCCAGCAGCAGCAGTTTACCAACACTGGCTTGTTATGTGCGTTTGCCGCTGTTTGACTAAATGTTAAATAAATACATATCTACAAATATGTATATAAGCGTGTATATATATATATATATATATTTTACAAATTAAGTGATGTCTGGTCAGCCACTGCCTTTTACAAATTGGCCTTGGGCTAGCTCCGATTTGGCCAAGTTACTTCAACAATTATGTTCACTCACATTAAACTCTACAACACTGAAATCAATTTCACAGTAAATAAGAAATGAAATAAATGAGATAATGTTAACAATAAGTTTATATTCGAGTTTTCTTGCAGTGAATTAGTTGCTGCGGGTGTTTCATGAGTCTAGATTATTGCTCGAAGAGCTGAAAGACTTGTTTTCAACACTGGTTAGCAGTGTTAAAATACGATAGTTTTTAAAAAAGCCTGAAAAGCTTGGTGTTCCTTTTTTTCAACACTATATTTATTTTCAGTGTTGCGATGCTGTTCACGAGTCTGGGTTACTTGTTTTGCAATACTGCTAAAAAGTGCTGTCAACTCTATTGAAATTTGACTTGGTTTGGAAGACATAGCTTGTAGGCCTGAATATTTCAATGTACTACATTTGTTTCAACACTAAATTTGCTGCCAGTGTTGTGTCATGTATCTGATTGACATGTTCGCTCATTTAAATTCCGCTAATTATCACATAGATGATAATATTTTATATTCATTTTGTCTTAGCCATCTAATTGGTGTTGAAGCAAACACAAACAGGTGTTAAAAGTATTAACTCAGCGCCACTTGAGGCTGATTGGCAAATGAGATTTTGGCCTTGCTCTGGTTGTCATTCATAAATCAAATATGCAAAATTATTAGATAAGGCTTTAATGAGTGCAAGGCTTAAATGCATATGATAGTCATTTATGTTATGCATGTTGTCTGGGACGAGAATAAAAGTTTGAGAGTGGCCTGAGCACAGATCCGTCCCGTGTCAAAGGACAGCTCACAAATGATATCCATTTGCAGTAATATGCCATAGAAATCTGGCAAAAAGTATGAAATAAATCATGCCTTTGGCCAATTGCGTCAATTCAGCACATTTTAGCCCCACAACTGCTGCGGGGAGTGGGTGCAATACAAACGGCGGCCTCTCTCTCCCTCCCTTTCCATCTCCCTCTCTCACAGTTGCTGTGACGCACTTGCCGCTGCTGCCAGCGGCACTGTCTATAAATATTTAAATTTCAAGTTTGGCAAAAGTTTTTTGCATGCATTACCAGGCCAAAGATGTGGGGGCTGGAACGGTGAGGGGCGGTGGGGTGTGGCGTGGCTGTTTGCCCGGCACTTTGTTGCGGCAACGGCTGTGCGCTAGTCGCTCGTCCTGCACGACTGTCTGGCAGCCACCCCTCAGCTCCCCACCCAACCGCCTCTGTAAACCTTTTTTTTCCCGCCCGACTGTAAAAGTTTTCTTTTTTCATTTTTTCATTTTTTTCATTTTTTTTTTTTTGCAAACTTGCAAGTGAAATGTTTGATTTTCAATGATTCAATAAATTATTTATATATTTGCGTATGTCGCACGCCCCCTACGCCCCCGCAGTTAACCCTGCCGGAGTCGCGATTCGCGCTGATCTTCAATTAGCCACGCGCTGCATTAAAGAGTCTCAGGTTCAGGGACTCGCAACGCCATTGCCACTTGGCTGGCTGCGTTGGCCTTGTTGGTCGTGTTGGCCGTGTTGGGTTGTGGCTGCTGCAACTGCTTCGTGCAACTTGGCAAGCGGCGCGTCGGGCACATTTAAAAGCGATAAATCACGGAGTTTTTGGCAGCCGTTGCACGGCGCTGCCAGCGAGCGATATCATTAACTCGCACAACTAACCGCTGCCACAGACCGCAGACGCATTCTAATCTCATCTCTTATTGGTGCCGAGAGTCTCCATCTCACTCACACTCACTCACTCTCTCTCTCTCTCTCTCTCTCTCTCTTTCTCTGTAACAGCGATTGGCGCCTTTCAACCGGAGTTTGTGGAAAGCATTTCAAATGTTTCGGTTGCTGTGGGTCGCGACGCAACCTTCACCTGTCACGTGCGCCACTTGGGCGGCTATCGGGTAAGTACAACACACACACACACACACACACACACACACTCCCTAATTAATGATAGCACACCAACAACAACACCACAATGCCACCTGAAATCTCAGGCATAACAATAATCAACCGCAATCGCACACGTATTCGCAGTCCATAGTACGATTTGGTAAATGTTATTTCTGCGGTTCTCTCACCTTCCACAGGTGGGCTGGCTGAAGGCCGATACAAAAGCCATTCAGGCCATACACGAGAACGTCATTACGCACAATCCGCGCGTCACGGTCAGCCATTTGGACCAAAACACCTGGAATCTGCACATTAAATCCGTCTCCGAGGATGATCGAGGCGGCTACATGTGTCAACTAAATACGGATCCAATGAAGAGTCAAGTAAGTCAAATGATCCATAATTATAGCTAAGTAGAGCATATATGATATGATATACTGAGTGGGGCAAAAGGCGCTTAAGCAGCCTAAAGTGTTTAGAGCGTGCTTAACGAAGGCTGCTTTAACTAGAGCTGGAAGATCACTCGATGGTTAGTCAGTCATGCTTGCGATAGATTAATGGATCTTATGCGATATATCGTTTAATTTTTGAAAATAAAATCATTTAGGCTTCCGTATTTTAGTTGATTTACTTAGTTTCTTCAGTATTATTTTCAGAAATTAGATTTATTATTTTTGTTTCCTCATCAATTAAATATAAAAGAAGATAAGAAAAAAGTCGCCCTTATTCCATAAACAGTAGCTGATCGATTAATGGAAATTATCGATAGTAGAAACCATCGACAGGACAAGCCATCGAATGGAGCCACTATCGATGCTTTTCCACCCCTAGCTTGATCAGTGTAGCTATTTCTCTCTCTCTCTCTCTCTCTCTCTCCCTCTTCCTCTCTCTCTTTCCCTCTTCCTCTCTCTCTCTCTCTTCCTCTCTCTCTCTCTCTCTCTCTTTCTCTCTCTTCTGTCTATCTCTCTCCCTCTCTGCAGACTCCAGTTTCAGTTGACAAATAATTTGTAGAATTTCACTTGCAGTGGACCAAATTAAAGTTGCACTCAGGACATGCCCTTGGGGCATGTCGCCAGCTTTAATATAGCTATCGCATGTGCTCACATATGCATACATACAAGCATATATACACACATACCTACATACATTTATGTAAATATGTCTGCAATAAAGGAATATCATCAATAGTATTTGAGCTGTTCTTAGCATAAGTAGCTGAACAAAGGTTACAGCCAATGAATAATGCTACGGCCAAGAAGACAATGAAAATGTTTCTAAATATTTTCCATGCATGCTGCTGCTGCTGTTGAAAGCAATTTTCCAAAGTGTCCAGGAAAATTTCATGCAGCATTCGTTGGACGGGGGAGGAGTAGGGAGAGACAAACGTAAAACAGAATGCAGCGCACTCACTGCTCCCCCTCTCTCTGTCTCACTCTCTCTCTCTCTCACCCTTCGGCCGCTTATGAGCTCTTTCCCTTTGCTTGAAACGTCGAGCAAGTGAAAGAAAGCGCAGCAAATCGAAAGCGAAAACTATGGCAAACAAGGCGAAAGACACTCACACTCACACATACACAAGTATGCTCATGCTTGTGTGTGAGTGTGCTAGTGTTGGTGTGGACGCACGTACACTCATGTGTCCAGCCAAGTGAAGTTTATGGCGCCAATAAAATGTATTTCATGCTTCCTTAATTTTTATTTTTACTTTAACGCTTCTCGCAAGGACAACAGCAGCAGCAGCAGCAGCAGCAGCAGAGCCAGGACATTGTGGGGCCAGCGCATGGGGGGGCTGTAGGGCAGGGCTGTACTTACTGCAACAGGGAGCTGCACACGCAACCGTAGCCCAATTGTCTTATGCTATATTTTCGTTTCGTTTCGTTTCGTTTCTCCTTCGCTTCGCTTTGCTTTGTTTTCTATTGCCATTGCGTTAAGAGTCCTTGCCTCCTGTCACAGTCCTAAACTATTTAGCGTCATTTCATTTGCTACGTTATGTATGTCTATGTGTGTGTGTGTGTGCTCCGATCTCAGGGCCCCCATTCGGCACATAAAAACATTTGCTGCTTTATGACCGCCTGCATAATCAGCAAATTTTCGCTGAGTGTATAGTAAATTTAGCCAAAGAGCAAGCCTTATGCCTCCTGCCACAAGCCTGCCACCATTTGCTGCTGATTGTTTTATTGTTGCTGTTGCTATTATTATTTTACTTATTTTTACATCGTGTCATTTTTCATATTCATGAATTTTTGGTTTTCCGAAATGTTCCATGTTTTGGATATGCAATTGCTGTTCAATTAGAGGCAATGTTATAACTGTTCTGTTCGCTTGTTTATTTCTAGATTGGTTTCCTGGACGTTGTCATACCGCCGGACTTCATCAGCGAGGACACGTCATCGGATGTAATTGTGCCCGAAGGCAGCTCCGTGCGCTTAACATGTCGGTGAGTGTAAATAAAAGTGGAAATTATACAGTTGACTATTGTCAAAAGGCCATCAGACAGGCTGCTAAATAATTGAGCTTTGGTTAAATTTAACTGCTGGTTAAAAGCTCAATCTCAATTTCATTTGCTTAAGTTAGTTCAAACTGAAACGTATGGCTTAAGAGGCGAAGATATGAATACAAATTGCAAATATTCCGCTTAGTAATTGACAACCAGTTAAATTTAACTTGAAGCTTGAGTTGGTGCTAGCATGTCTGTAAAGACTGGAATATACACATATTAGCATATACCATATATAGCACTAATGCTGAAAGAAATTATTCAAGTAACCTTCAAATGAAGAGATAATGCTGCTTGACAACAGGTTAAACTTGACTTAAGGTTAAAGCTTGCTTAAAATGAAGTCGGCTCAAGTCAGTCTTTCCGAAAATAAAATATACTAAATTATGCATTAGCTTGCCAAGCACTGCTAATTGTATTTGACAAGCGGTTAAATTTAACTGAAGCTCTAGCTCAGGCACAGCTTAAGACATATCTTAGAGATATTTCAGTTAAAAATATTAGCATATACCAAGTTATAAATAGGCTTGACAAGCAGTTCAAAAATGCCAACAGTATTTGGCAACAGGTTAAGTTTGACACGAAATTCAACTAGATCCTTTCTGAATTGAAATGATACATTAATCTATTATAAATGTATGTATGTGTGTATGTATGTATATCAAAAATGTACTGCTCATTAATTGACTGCAAGTTAATTTTAACAGGTAGTTGAGGCAGGTGAGGGCAGCACATGAGCATTTATCTTGCCATTTGCAAGCACTAGCACATTACACACATATCCAAATATAATATATGTATATTTGATATATAATAAGTCTCAGGACATATGTAGATTAATTTGTGCGTGTGTGTGTGGCTAATAGCGCACAGTCCTTTTGGCTGGTTTCGGTTGTTAGCCAAGCAAAAGCCAAGCCCAGCCAAATGGCCATCAGTGCCAAATACGCCGCCCGCATTGTCATCGTCATTGTCATCATCACCATCATCACCATCATCATCATCATCATTTAATAATGTCAGCAAATTAAGCGACACTTCATTTCTCTTGATTTGGGTCGGCGCTCAGCATATGCCCTGGACTTTGGAACGGGAGTATATTAGCTCGACATGCACGAACATGTGACCAAATAAACAAATATGTATAAGTATATATAGTAATATATTTATATATATTTTAGTTATTTATTTCTTTTAGCCTAACTTAGAAAAAAATAGTCCAACTGATTTGTAAGTCTGCTGTCTCCATTCACCTGCCATTTACAGGGTATCTGCCATGTTGAGCTCACCGCTGGCTTATCGGTTCGCTTGGCTCATGTTAGTTTCAGCGGTTTTTCCTTTTAGCCAACTGCGACAACGACTCGACTCGACTCGACTCGATGCGACGCGACGCATTTGGTCGCCGTTGATTTATGAACTTGACCACGGCCACGAAGTAATTTTAACGATTTAACCGCAGGATGATAGAACCAGAGCGATAAACGTACTCCTCTATTAATGTATCTGTGTGCGTGTGCGTGTGAGTGTGTGTGTGTGCGTCTGTCTGGCTGACTGGCTGACTGGCTGTGTATGTGGAAAGCTATTAGAGACATCGTCTGTAATTTTTTTCATTTTAATACCACTTAGGGCAAGACCCATAAAATGAATTTAACTTTAAGCAGGCGACAAAAGAAAAACAACAACAGCTTAAATGCCTGCCGGCTGAAAAAAAAAGTGGCCCAGATGTGCAGATTGTTAAAGCTATTATATATACATATATACATATATACGGATGCGACACTTATATATTTATATATGAAATTAAAACAGTTTTCCAAGTAATTTCCTTGGAAAGATAAAAGTCGAAGCTTAAAACACACTCAAGTCTTTCAGCTATATGCACATATAGATAAATATGTAGATATGTATATGTCTATATAGTACAGATACATATGTATAGATATATAGTTAGTTGGCCAAGTGAAAGTTAAAGAGAGTTCTGGCTCTTATAATGATATCATCTAGTGAAGACTGGGAAGGTCTTAGTGAAAATAATAAATCATATTGGACTTGACTTCAATGTATTGGGGATAGTCTTAGGTATAGTAAACGTATGTACTATATGTATTTTCTTATATACATATATATGAAACAGTTAGCAATTTAAATGATATACAGCTGTGAAAAATAAAATAGCGCCACTTGCGAATGTAAAGTTTAAGAAGTTTCCTTCGATATATTCTTTATAAAAGCAGAAAGCAATAAATTATTGCAACAAAAATATTTAATTTATTTTGTATATATTTCAAAAAAATTCTTTAAAAAGTCGAAAAAATGCAAGGTTTTCTATTTTATTTTTCACAGCTGTATGTATGAATCTAATAGACTTTCAGTTTTATGATTGATATGATCTACTTAAATAAAAATAGTAAAAAAAAAAAAAAAAAAAAAAAATAGTTGAACTCAAACTTGATTTCAATTTTATATGTATATATGCATATATAAATTATATATTGATAAACATTTGAGATATGAATCAATAAATAATAAATAATAAATAGTTGTCTTTATATTCGTAAATTTGAGCTTAATTTAATAGCACTTAAAATGGTTTTAATATGACTTAATATGACAATAGCAACAAAGTGTGAAGGCAATAACCGTTAAAGCTATTATGACAATCAGAGAAATACCTCCATATATACATATACATATACATGTATATATACTGTATTTCGAGATGATGACGTCGACAATGATCACCTACATGTGTATTTAGAGCGTCTGTCTTAGCCTATTGTTATGTAGGTATGTTGTTTTCATGAATAAACATATTACAAGTAACATCACACACACACACGCAGACACACATATATGTATATACATATGCAGCACAAACAATCAGCTTGGCAGGCGTTCAGTCTTAGCCAAGTTAGCTGCTAAGGAACTGCTGCGGCTGCTGCTGACTGGTAGCCAGGCGGTCTCCATTGTGTTTGCTTTGGTCTTGCACTCGGGACAAACTCTCAAATGTCTTAGCCTGTCTGTTAGCCTCTACCCCACACCCTATCTCTCTCTCTCTCTCTCTCTCTCTCTGTCTCTGTGTGCGTAAGACTTTCTTTTGCTTAGCTATTTTGCATCTGTTTGCGGCACCATAAAAATTTACCACACCCGTGTCTGCTGTCTGCTGCGCTGTTAAACTGAGGCTGCCTCAATGCATGCACGTGGTGGAGGGCTTCCACCCACAACTTGTCTTTGCCTGCTCCAGCTCCAGCTCCAGCTCCTCCTTTGGCACCATTCACAATCTCAGCCACAGACGGCGACTGCTGGCCAAAAGCGTTGCGTTGCGTTGCACTGCGATGCCTTGTCTGCATTACAAGAAGTTTGCGCTCTGGGCCAACACACAATGGCCAGTGCTGCATATTAAATTGAATAGACTAAATTCCATTGCCTACTTTTCAGGGCAGCCGACTTAAAGTGCGTGCTGTTGCCACATTTATTCTAGCACTTGCGTCGAAACAGTTACAAGTGTTTTCTTTATAGGAAAATTAGTATACGATATTCAACAATTTCAACTATTAAAAATAAAATATTAAATTTTCATATCAATGCCACATAGCTCTGCATATGTATGTAGTTCTGCTGAGGCCTAGGCAATATTTACTGTTGAGATGCATCACTTGCAAGGCTTCAATTTCATTTATTTTTAGCTATGTAAATAATTGAAATCCGCATTGGTTAGCCAAATGCATTTGTTAAGGCAGCAAGTATGTCTTCTTCTTAAAGACACTTTTGAAGCTAGTCAAGTGGGAGCTACTCTTTGGGGTTATTGCCTTAGGGCATGCCGAGATTTCATGTTTGCTATTTTCGATATTAATTAGTTTAGCTGTTGTTGAGCTGTTAGTACAGGACAGTTAGATGCAGAAGCTAAGAGACCGGCTTATATTCCAATTTGAAAAGTATTGGTAATGCTGATTATGGATCGGTATTTAATCAGAGTCAAAATTCCTTTCATTTTGTATAATAATTACATACACAAATACATATATACATAAATGTATACATATATACATACATACATGCATACATACATGCATACATACATACATGCATACATACATACATACATACATACATACATACATACATACAAACATACATACATACACACATACATATATACATACATACATACATACCTATGCATTGTACTAGACCAATAAGAGTTGAGATGGAACAGCACTCTGGTTAAGTATCGATATTTAGCCATATCGATGTCGATAGTTGGCGCTTGTGCGATGATCGTGAATAGCTTAAACAGAAGAGAAAGAGCGGGAGCGCTATATTAAGCAGAAAGCGAAGAGCTTGAGAGGCATTTGCTGCGAATAAAACAAATAACAGTAAATAACGAAATAATGCAATATGCACATCAGTATATAAATATTCATCACGAGAGTCGAAGCTACACGACTTGCATCTCAGCTAGCTTCATTTCAAATAAACTGTGCGCCACTGTATGCTCAAATATACATACATACATGCATATGTATGTACATGTCTATTAACTATTGCCAATCATGTTTATTTCATGTCTTTTGAATATCTTTGCTGCAGTGCACGCGGCTATCCGGAGCCCATTGTGAACTGGCGCCGCGAGGATGGCGGCGAAATTGTGCTCAAGGACAATGCCGGCACCAAGACCTTGGGTACGTAAATGTTGTAATTGAGTTATTCGAAGAGGTCGTCATATACATATACATTTAATGTATACTTCATATACATATGTATACATATCTATCATACATTAACTTATCCATCTATTCCCGTTGACAGTGTCCTCGTTCCGCGGCGAGGTGCTGAAGCTGACGAAGATCTCACGCAACGAAATGGGCTCCTATCTGTGCATCGCCTCCAATGGAGTGCCCCCATCGGTTTCCAAGCGCATCTCGCTTAGCATACACTGTAAGTAAATCAAATCCGCAATCCACTTGCTGCTGCTGTCGGCTGCCATGCGGGCGGCGGGTGGCATTAATTAGAGAGCGTTGTGGTTGGTCAACTTTCTGTATTCTCTTTTCTATTTTCTATTTTTTTTTTTGCATGTTCCTTTACACACTTACTAACACACACACACACACATCATTAGTCAGCTGTCGCCACAGCTCAGTCTGGCTTCGTCCGGGTCTCATCCTTTGAGCTGAACTCTCAGTTTTTGGCGCTAGCCATCGTCGTGGTGTTTATCTAGTTTAGTGTACTGACACCACCCCGCCACCGCACCGCAGTGCGCCCCCAGCTGTAGCCACAGTTATCAACTACACACACACACATACAGCGCCCTCAGCTACGCTGCGGAAAAAAAGGGCAAACTCAAAGCTGAAAATTGTAAGCAATAAGCGAGAGAGAAAAGAGCGAGAGAGGGAGAGCGAGAGAGAGGGACAGCGACTGCCTTTTGGGGGTACAGCTTGTGGCACGGTGCGGCGCTAACTCGATTGTCGTTGTTGTAATCCGTTTAAACCCAGTCACTGATACCGGGCATTACCTGATGCCTTGTGCATTGTGTTGCTGCTCCTGCTGCTGCTCCTGCTGCTGCTCCTGCTGCTGCTCCTGCTGCTCCTGCTGCTGCTGTTGGGGCCACAGTTTTTTGTCAACCTGTCTGCAGCACGTGCGGCATGCTGTCCTAGTTGATGACGACGACGACGACGAGGACGACGATGGTTTGCAGCAGCAACTGCTTGCCTCTCCTTTGCCTTGTCGTCCTGTCGTCCTGTCGCCCAGCCGCTCCATGTGGCAGGTTCACTCAATCATCACGACATCAGCAGCAGCTCCACTGCGCTTGTTTGCTAACAGCGTTCGCTTGGCAACGTGCGCCGAGCAATTCCTGGCCATGTCCTTGCTGCCTGTTTGTTTTGGCTTGTCCCTTTGTCCCGCCAAGCGAAAGAGAGCCGACGAGAAAGAGATAGAGCGAGACTACACTTGTCAGCCATATAGAAGTATGTAGCTCGCTGGCTGCCATTGCGTTTTAGGTGGCAAAATCACGCTTTTTAACATTTTGACATTTTGTTAATGTGGCCTTCAAGTGCCTCTGGCTAGCAGCAGCAGGAGTCGGAACAGCAGCAGGAGTCGGGGCAGCAGCAGGGTCGGGGCAGCAGCAGGTGTCGGGGCAGCTGCGTGAGAGTCCTTCTTAGGCACAGCAGCTAGCCTTAAAGGCAGCTGCAGCTGCTATCAGCGTGTAGCCAGTGCGCCATTGGCATGCAGCGACACCTTCTCAAAGTTCTTGATCAACTTGGGCCGTACTCGGCTCAAAAACTCTCGCTCAAGTCTCTCCAGTTCGTCAGCTCTGAGTGCGTGTGTGTGTGTGTGTGTGTGTGAGTGCATTTCCTGTTGCTATTTTTGCAGGAACTTACTCACAATTTGTTTGGCAAATGTTGCCTCTGTCTGTCCAACTCTTTCTCTGCCCCTCTCCCTCTCTATCTCTCTCCCTCCCCCCGTCGGAATAAGTGAAAACAAAGTTTTCCCTCATCTGCATGGGCTTTTTTCCTTGGCATCTTCAGCAAACTGCGCGCACTGCAGCCGCCTGATAAAGCTCGATTCGGCACTAGCTGCCTGCCACAGCATGTGGCACAAGTCCCAAGTACTGACAGCAGCAACATCGACACCGACACCAACACCCAAACCAACAACGACAACGACAACGACAACGACGGCCGCATATCCCTTTGCGTGTTTCCGCGCCATTTGCTGAAGTTTCCTGCCTTGTTAGGCACCTTCCTGCACGACTAATTAGGGACTTGGCAATGCGCCGCTGCCATTCGCAGGAAGAGAGCAGCAGGACGCGCAGCAAACAATTTGGCCACAATTAGCAGACAGCTTCCATGTGTCACACAACTCTCGCAGAGACCAGAACCCGCCACTCACATCTATTTACCATGCATACTCATATGAATTATAATAATATTACGATCTGCATTTCTAATACATTTCATTGATATGCATTCTATATGCTAAATTATTTGATTCACTGATCAGAGTTCCATATTGAATATATAGGTAATATTAAATTAAATTTCTTTAGCTAAACTCGACTAAATTTTAGATCATTTGAATGTTGGAGTTTCAAAAGCGGGAATATTCATCTCCTTATGCTCGTTCTCCCTGGAGTCGCGGACATCGGAGAACTAATATTTCTTTTCTTGAATATTGCTGAAGAAACTTTCTTCGCACTATATTATAAATATATATAACCTTATACCATAGTAAATGCTTAAGGGAGTCCGTACTTATGCTGCACTGATCGTTTTTCACTGTGTTCAAATAAGTGTCTTTTATTGGCGAAGGCCTCAGTAGACAGCTTCTCAATTATATATCAGCTCCAATTTCAAAATTGATAAAGTCTCTTTCACTCACACTCTGAGAAAAGACTCGGCGAGCAATCAACTTCGTCGGTTCTTCAACGAGCTCGTTCCGGATTGAGAGCACAAGTGATATACGACTATATTATACATATATAATCCCCTTAATTTCTGCTCATAGACAGGACAGCATGATGTAGAGAAGGAAGAGTGTGCCAACGCGCTTTTCTATAGACATAATTCACTCGAATGCAAATGCCGCTCCCATTGATCTTATTCTTAGCTCACTCAAATGCCTTAACAGCCATGTTAACTATGTCTGTGAATTAACAGCTACTGTCATGTTATTTGACTGTCATATTGTGATGAGCATTTATAAATGATAAGCTGGTCATTTGAAGTTGGAGTTCTAAGAGAGAAGATATCGTTCTCCATGTGCTCGCTCTTCCTGTATTTGTTTACTGCAACAGCTACAATATTAGTCACAAGCCGAAGGCCTCAGTTGACACTGTTTAATTATTAAGTTAGTCCTTTCCATTGAAAATGTTTTTTTATTTTATTTATTTATTTTTTGTTTTGTTTTTTTATTAATTTTAATCTCTAATAAATAAAGAAAATAAAGAAAAGCTTTGGCAAATTGAAACTCACGATGATTGGGCATTGACATATTGATCCAATTTTGTTATTAAATAAAGTTAATAATTTAGTTAAACACACTGGAAATAAATTTGGATCATTTTATATACAAATATAAAAAATACTTAAAATTTGAATGCAAATGTTTATTATTTATTCGTTTTCAAAGTGGCTGCTGTATGAAGACTTTATTGATACACTGTATATATGTATTAAATTGTGTTTTTTATATCACTCAATTTTTTTTAAATCACTAAATATATCCGGTTATATATCGTTATACCCGAAAGATGCTTTAACCATATAAGTTTATTTATATAACTTTGTCTAAGGAACAGACATTTCGTCGCACTCAACTTACGGACGTTATAAGCGGAATCCTCATAATCATATTTGACTGTATTTTTAATACTTCTCATCTCAATAGACTTTGCAACTAAATGTTGTAGCATATTTCTAACGCTCTGTCTAATAACAACTTAGTTGCCTAAAAATTATAAAAATATACCAGATTAATATTTCGGTTGAAGCAGCTTCAGCAGGAGCATCAAAACTTTCCCAAATTCATAAAAATGCTTCGTCTTTAGCTTTAAATTTGCAATGGGGCAAAACTTTGTTGAATCAAACAAGTTTTGAGGCTCAAAAACGGGTTCAGGTTGAATTTATTTGTTTATTCTCTTGAAAAAATATTGGCCGAATATTTTGAATAGAAAATTCTGATATATATGTACATATATATATACAGGCTTATATTGATATACATACATATACAACTATTTATTTGATATCCAAGTTTGTTTTAAAGATTATTTAAAGTTTTCATTGTTTAGACAATTTTGCTATATCATTCATTTATATATGTATATACATATATATATATATATTTGCACCTGCATATTTTGCACTTTCAACAAGATTTTGTTTTTGATTTGTTGCTATTATTTTTATTTTGTGTGTGCGTGTGTGTGTGTGTGTTTTTTTTTAAATCGAAGGCAAATAATTGTTGCAAATCGCTGAAAATCACGTACGGCTAAAGAGTGCGCAGCAGATATTTGCCGGGCGAGTGGATAGATGAAGCGCACGGGCAGCGGCATAAATTCGCAATCGCTGCATGCGTAAAGCTAGACAGGGACAGCAGTAGCAGGAGTAGAAGGAGTAGCAGGAGTAGCAGGAGCAGCAGCCGTGGGTGGATTGGACAATCATTGTTGCATGCCCCAAAACGCTCTGGTCTCCATTTGCGCTGCCAATGAGCTGAAAAATACACGTCAATGGCTTTTGTGCTCGACTCTGTTACCTTTAACTCAAAGTTTCGCACAATGGCCCCAAAATGTGATGAGGTGCACAGCTGTGTGTGTGTGTGTGCTGTAATTGTAGCTACAGCTGCTGTTGCTGCTGCTGCTGCTGCTGCGACGTCATTAGTGCATATTTGTGGCTTTGTTTGCCGCAACTGAGCCAGCAGCAGGCAGCTGAGGCTTAGGCACCGAGTGGTGCCGAGGGCGGCCGAGGGGAGCTGAGCGCCAAGGATTGTGGATAGTGAATTGAGGATTGAGCTGGGACAGCTGCAGGCGCATGCACATGCTCGGAATAATCATGGCCAAATTGTAAATCGCAAGCGAAAGTGTTTGCCTCTGCCTCCCACGCCTGCGCCTCTACCCCCATGCAATCTGCCAAAGTTGCACTACGTGTATCTATGTATGCGTGTGCATGTGTGTGTGTGTGTGTGTGTGTGTGTTGACTGTGTGTATGCAGATTGAAAATAGACGCAGTCAACCAGCACTCATGCACTGGTCAAGCTGGACATGCGGCAGAGGCTCGTTGACTGCCTCCGAGTGCCACTGACAGGGAGGAGAATTTTTGTACTTGAGCGAAACTGGGCGGGGCACAGTCTCTGCCGGCAGTCATCAGACGCCACTGCAACGTGCGTGACTTAAATGTCAATTTTGTGTCTGTGTATGCGCGTGTGTGTCTGTGTGTGTGCCACACCAGGTTGCATGCAACATGGGGCAGCAGCAGCTTTAAAGCGTCTGCAAAGCTCACATAAGCTCATTAATTTACTTCGGGCCAAGGCAATGCAGGCCACATGAGATCTAACATTTATTGCTATTAATCGTTTATGATATAATGTTGTATTAAAGCATAGTTTCAGTTAGTATGTAACACACACACACACGCACACGCACACTTGTAGTGTGGCTACAGTGTGTGAGCAAATAGACAGTTGATAGATAAGACATATGCACTCGAGCACGGAAATCAATTAAAATCTCTTGGACTTACAAAACTGTCCTAAGCTGTACACACACACACACACACACACACACACACACACCCACACACACATAGAGAGAGACCCATAGACATGCACAGGTCATTGTTGCAAGCTGCTGTTGCACTGCAATCGACTATCAATGCACATGACTATAGAAATGTTACCTCACACACACACACACACATACACATTTGGCTCTCTGCATGTGTGTGTGGGTGTGTGAGTATACAATATCTGTTAGCTGGTTGTGGGGTTTGCCACGTTGCAAGCAACGGCCTGTGGCGGCTTTGGCAGTTTTACAAAACCACCAATTTTGGTTATAGCTCGGTGAGAGCGTCTGCTAGACACAGTCAGTCTCTTCCTCTCTCCCTCTCTCTTTCTGTGAGTGTGTGTGAGGGAGCTACTACTCCATCTGTGGCCCACTAAGTGACAATAAACACGCACACGAATTGCAAAAGAGTTGCCATTTTACTCCGCAAAGGGGAGACGTGCACAGCATCTGCATTGCATTTTGATGACCGCACCGAGTTAGCCCACATCCAATTGGCTTTCTATTCCACCACCCTCCCCTCACACACACACACACACACACACACACATTCACACCCATTTGTGGATGTGTGCGTAATTCATTATGCAACGACTATTATTTAAAGTCGAGCGTCCATTGTTGTCGTTTCTTATCAGTGCATGGAACACGTTAAGAACGTGGCAAATGTGAGTGGCGAGTCGAGTTCTTTTATGGCATCTCGATAGGTAAAACGTGGCGAGTAACCAACTCGTTAGCTTAGTGAGCGAGAATTAAGAGTAATTATTCGGGAATTGGAGTAACGAGAGGTCGAGGGAGTCTTTTTAGTCTGTAGGGTGAGGCCATTTGACTAACGAGTAAATAAAAAGCAACGAGAAGAGCGACACGCAATGCTATCAAGACCGAGTAATGAGCAGGGCGAATTATAAGCAGTTATCACAGAGGTAGAGTGGTGTAGAAGAAGTCTGTAAAGTCTCGCTTTAGCCAACGAGTTAACAAGCAGCGGCGAGTATATTGTGACAGAAGTAACGAGTAACAAACTCGTTAGTTGACAGCGCGTTTTACTTAGCTGTTTAGGAGTTAGGCTAAAGCAACGTAAAGCAAGTCTGTTTATATAGTCGATAACGTGTAGACATGTAAAGCAGCGAGTATAATCTGTCATCAATAGCGAATAACTGAGCAAGTTATTTGGGAACGTCGAAGAGAACGACTCGAAAGGAGTAGGTTGTCTAAGTAGTCTATATACAGTAAAAGTAATCTACAATATGCTGTCAATTGACTAGCGAGTAAACGAAAAGTAGCGAGTATATAGATACTTTGTAATAAATAAGCGAATAAAGAGTTCATTAGGTAATAGAACGGAGATAAATACAGTAGAATCCGGTTATAACGACTCCGCTTATAGCGTCTGTAGGGTTATAGCGACGAAAATTCTGGTCCCCAGACAAACTTTTATGAATAAACTTATATACTTAAAGCGTCTTTTGGGTATACCGACGGTGCCTTGAGCATCGTTATAACCGAATTCTACTCTATATATAAAGTTAGTCAAGTTTAAGCGAAAAGTAACGAGTGTAATATGCCATTAAAAGCGCGTATATATGATAATTCACGTAAGTTTCAATTGGCTTGATATTATACTAGATTTATTTAATATGTATGTAACAGGATACATAACGAGTTGTCTATCAAGTAAGCTCAGTGTATCTACTCGTCAGGTAGCACGAAGCAGCGAGTAACTCCACTCGCTATACAGTAAATAGCAAATTCATGCAGCAAATTACACGACGAGTAAGCGAGAGGCGAAGAGTAGAGTAAAACAAATAGCGATTACACTTACAATTTAGACAACTAACGAGTAAACTTGCTTTAAGAAGCTTGCCTATAAAATTCTAAGGAATTATAGTCCTTCTTACCATAGTAGTGTATATCAAAGTAATCTATATATCAATGCTTAAGCTATATCTAAACATATTATATTACTCTAGAAACGCTCGTTCAAACTCAATATGAATAGATTACAATAGATAATACAGAGTGATTCAATGGAAATCTTTATTCTATAGCCAGTTACATAATGCTCCTTTATGTGGCTGCACGCGTCTATAGATGGGTAACATATGAGGTGCATGAGATGGTCTGTGTATGTGTGTGTGAGTGTGTGTGCGTGTGAGACACGAAGACAGGGAAATGGATGCGTTTAAAAAATGGTTTTATAATGTGCAGCTATAACAAACGAGTACATAACGACTTTATGCCTGCCTCTCTCACTCACCTACTCTCTCTCTCTCTCACTCTCTCTCTCTCTCTCTTTTCTGGCTTTACCTATTGCAGTTCATCCAGTCATACAAGTGCCGAATCAATTAGTCGGAGCACCGCTTGGCACTGATGTTCAAATCGAGTGTCACGTTGAGGCCTCGCCCAAATCAATTAACTACTGGATTAAGGATACCGGTGAGTATATATGTAGATATAGACATGTGTGCGTGTGTGTGTGTGTGTGTATAGTCACTACCTCTCTCTCAGTCTCCCTCTCTCTCTCCCCCACCCGCTTCATGTGCTGCCGTTGGGCACTTTTTGGTCAACTTTTACATTTTATAGACATTCGGCGGCATATGCACACATCCTTTTATACTATGCCCCTGTGTGTGTATGTGTGTGCGTGTGTGTGCTTTTGCTTGTGTGCATTGTCATTAGTTGACTGTCAGATCGTCACGTCCAGTGAGCCCAGTTGAACTTTAAGCCATAAACTAATCAAGCCAAAAAATCAAATTTAAAATCACTTACTCGAAGGCGCAACTCACTCAACGTAATTAGAGTTGGGCGTTATCTTGACATGCTGCAGCAGCAGGAGCAGGAGCAGTAGCAGCAGCAGCAGCAGGAGCAGCCACAACAGCTTGCTATAATGACTTCTAAGGCCAGACCGCAGCATCTATTGAACTTCAAGTCGAACTTTACACATTTCAAGAGCGAGCAGAGTATTAAGCAGTCCATAGGACTCCAGTGCAGCTTGCATATAATATATACTTATATGTATGTATGTGTTCGTATAATATACTAACTCTTATCATAGCTACAATTCTCGTCTATATTTTAGTTTTAGCCTGGCCTGTGCGCTGTGCGCTGTCAAATCAAAGCCTGACTGATTTAACAATCACATTAGGCACAGGATATGTATGTTTGTGTGTGTGTGCTTGTTTGCTGTGTATTTGCAACTACTACAAGTGGCTTTCACAGTTGTTTTCTCAATCATTAAGCATCAAATGTAATGCAAGCACATAAATAGCGACAGCCGCCATCAATGCTAAGGCAACATCGTATATCCGCTCTACTCACACACACACACACACACACACACACATGCACATACACCTAGTCATATGTGATGATGCTGATGCGTGTGTGGTTTCTCATTGTAGTCAATGATGCGTCTATCTAACTGCGTGTGTGTGTGTGTGTGTGTGTGTGTGTGTGTGTGTGTGTGTCTTGGTGTTAATGCTGCGGTCGTCTTGGCCCAACGTCAGCGTATGCCAGAGGCTTATCGTCCGCATTATGCACATTGGCAACACGCCCGGCTCCTGCTGCCTGCTGGAGAGGCATAAATCATATGCGATCCATTGATTTTTGTTAGGATGGGCTTTAATATCAGCAATGAATTCATTTATAATTGACTCTGGCATCCAGTGAAGCGTCGCACAACTGCATTCGCGACCGCAGACTCAACAAATTTACCTTTTCATTTGGAATACATATGCGTACATCCACATATACACATATTCACACATATTCATCTGTGTGAATATTTTATAAATGCACCTAAATTAACAACAATTTCAGGCCATTGCAATATCGATTTTCGTGTAATTAATTCAATTTAATTACAGTTCCTTTGCGGCGTCCCTTTTGTGCTCAGCATCAAATGCCAGTGTTAAGAAATTGTTGCTTGCCTCTGTTCGAGCCATGAGAATTGCCAAGAAGGGCGGTGGTTACAGTGGTAGGAGTTGAGGTTGAGCAAATCGCGAGAGAAGGGGATTGGAATGAAAGAAGGGGAAGAACATATGTTGATTGAGAAGGGCAAATGAAAGGAATCATATTAATTATAATAAGTTGAAAGAGCCTAGACTGCGAGAGAGGATAGAGAAGGACAGTGAGAGAGTGAGTGAGAAAACGAGAGGAGGAGGGAAAAAACACAAACGGGTCAGAAGGAAGCAAAGAGAAGAAGAGAGAGAGGGAGAGAAATAGGAAATACGGCAATCAGAGTGAGAGAGAGCGAAAGGGAAACCAGTAAAAGGACAGGATAAAGATAAAGGAAACTGGAGTGCGAAACTGAGAGAGAGAGTGAGATAAGGAAGCTAGGAGGGAGGGAGATAGGAGAAATAGAATGGGAAAGTTGGACAAAGAATGATAGAGAGAGGAGGAGAGAAATCAAGGGCACAGGTCAGAGGAAGAAAGATCGCAAAGCCAAGGGAATCAGAGAAAGATAGGGAAAATTACATTCAAAGTGGGAGAAGCCAGTAAAGAAAGAGCAGGATATAAATAAAGGGATCTAGAGAGCGAATTAGAAAGGCAGGAAAATGGCAGAGAGAGAGAGAGAGAGGGAGAGGAACTAAGGGAGTGAGAGGAACTAAGGGAAGAGTACTCCCTCTCTCCCCCTCTTCATCTGAAAGATATCTCACAAAACAATCAAATCCATTTATACCTACATAGATGCCCCCACTTAATTGTCCTCTTCTCGCTTTATGCGCATTGTCGGAACCAACTTTTATGGGGCTTTTGAGTGTGCGAGCTCAGAGTTGATAACTTTTTATAATGCCTTTGTTAATCAACAGGTGAAATGATTGTCTCGTCGGCCAAATACCATGTGCAGGAGCATTCGCAGTCGATGTACGAAACGAAAATGTCAATGATTGTGCGAAAATTTCAGAAGGACGATGTCGGCTCGTACCGCTGCATTGCGAAAAACTCACTGGGCGAAGTTGACAGCAGCATCCGGCTATACGGTAAGTGGGCCACCCACATGGTGGAGTGTGGGTGTGTGGTGGGGGTCATATTTTATGGATAATAAACGCGACAAACACTCACACACATACGAGCGGGGGTGTGTGGGTTGGGCTAAGAGGGGGTGTAGCTAAAGGTATTTGCACCTTTGTTTCAATTACTACTCATAGTAGAGTTACCGTTGCTATAGCCGTTACTGTTACCGTTACCGTTACATTTCCGCCTTCTCGCCCACGACAGAAATCCCGGGACCGAATCGTAAAAATCCTTCAAATAGCAAAGGAAACGGAGGCGCTGGCAGCGCTGCCGGCAACGCCGGCGACACGGATGCCAATGACATTTTAAAACTGAAACAACAAGTCAAAGTCACCTACCAGCCGGAGGACGACGAGCTCTACGGCTCGGCCGAGGATTTCGAGGATGGCGAATTCGCCGGGTCGCCGCCGTTATCGCCGCACCATTACTACACCAGCGGCAATAAGCCACCGACACATAAGCCCGGCGGCAGCGGTGGCGGCCATCAGCACCAGCATCAGCACCACCATCACCCACAGCAGACAGCGACGGGCGGTGGTGGTGGTAGTGGTGGTGGTGCTGGTGGCGGTGGCGCCAGCTCCATTGAGCTGGCATTCGGCAGTGGCCAACTGAACGGCGCTGGCAACACACGTAAGCCGACCTATTACGGTGGCAGCGGTGTCGCTGGGGGCGTTGGCGGCGCCACGGGCAACACGGAAGTGCGCGGCCCCATGGACAACAACGAGCGCAGCACCGCTGGCGCACCACATCGCGCCTTCAGCCCAACCAGCCATCGGCTCCACTCGCCATATCGTCAATGGCTGTGGCTGTTCCACTGTCGACAGCCGCTCTTAATGGGCTTGTCCGGCTTAGTTGCGGCGCTCAGACTGTTATAATACATGGTGGCAGCAGTGCACTAGAGGAAGACACAAACACACACGCACATAGAGACAAACACACACACACACACACACTACCACACACTCAGACAGAGTAGGTTTTTTTTTGAGGGAATTAAACATACAAAGCATTAAACTACGTTTCTTGTATAAGAACAAGATGCTTGCTTAGAGTAAGTGCATATCCACACACATACACACACACACAGCAACACACAGATGTATATGTATATGTTGATGGGCCTTTTTCAGTTAGCATCGCTACGGCCCAAGGACACTAGCTGATTATGGCAGCCCAATCAAAGATTCAATAATTATAATCAAAACTCTACTAAAAGGGCATCAAGTGTTGCACAATGCAAAAAGCTTTAAGTCAACACTAAAAGTTTTTCTATTATTTAATCGACTTTTCCACATTCTTAAAGCGCTTTAACATATAATTGTTTGTACAATTTTTTACTATTACCCATTTTTAATAAAATGAATATGTATTTTAAAATAAAAGTTTTTTTATATCTTATTTGAATTTGTTGTTTTATATATATACATAATAACTTATATATAGTTGTTTAACTTAAATTTTTATTTTTTTTTATTTTTTCTTTTTTTTCCTTTTGAAGTGAAATAATATTTATAAATAATTTCAATAATTACTAACCTTAACTTATACGTAATTTATTAAGTTTTGAAACTTTTTTTTTTGTTAATTTAAATGTTATTTTAAATTTATTAATAATAAAAAAGATGTGTGTAAAATATATATTTTTTCTAAATGTATATTTTTATTCTTATTTAATTTTATATATTAATATTTGTTATTATCTATATAGTCAATTATCAATTATTTAACCTTTTTTTTTTTTGTAAATTTATACAAATTATTTTTGACACTTACTTTTTATTCAATTTTTAATTGGCAATTAATTGATAAAAATATTTTGAAAATTCTGATTTCATTTTGTGGTTGAACTTAATTATAAAATGTTTTTTTTTTTTTTTTTTTTTTTTTAACATTATTTTTTATCTTCTTCTTTGTTAATTGAGTCAAATTCTCGCTATTTTACAACACTGAAGTCTCTTTTATATTTAGCATTCGATTTGACCTTCGGCATAAATGCGATTTTCAGCTGGTGTCCTTGGGACTATCTACGTTGATCTCACAGAGCAGCGCTAAGGTAGGCCATTTGTAATTTACATAAACAAAAATATAGTTTACAATTGAATTGGTTAAAACTAACATAAAAAAAATGTCTGTTACACTTTGCAACATTACAAATTAATTTATATATACATAAAATAAAAAACAGAAAAAAATGTTTATAACGACATATAAACTCAATAAAGTGCGCTATCTGTATACTTGCATATATATATATAAATAAATAAATATATATATATATTATAATAATATTATAATCTAAGGGTAAGTGATTCGCAAAAGAATTATATTTAAACCTAATATAAATATATTCATGTTTTGTGTGAACGGTAAAAGGCCTCATATATAAAACTAACGGCAGTTAAATAGTTACAAACTGTACTCAAGGTCTTGTTAATATTAGTTTAGAGTGTTTATAATGTATAATCATTTAAGTCTTAAGATACCAAGAGCGACTAAGCTGAAATAAATAGACAATTGCATTGAAAATCGAAAGATATGGAAAGTTTAAGGAAATTTATATATGATTTTGTTTAACGTTATAGTACTTATATGTGGGGATATATCTGCAGATCATACAAAGTGTTACTGAAGAGAAAAAATTTATAGATTTCCATATAATTTTCTCGATTCGCAGCTCTGATTTATGTGGCCTGACCTTTTCCTTTGCTTCGAATTCGAGATAAACTCAAGTCATTAAAAAATCCATTAAGTTTAACCTTTTTCACTGCATTCGAAAAAAAAAAGGAATCAAAAAGAGGCACAAAGTTAATTTCCTACTTCGATTTATATTTAAGCTCAAGGACATACATAGTTGACGAAAAAAATGAAAAAAACACCAACAAAAAATGTCAATTAATACAAAAATGTCAAACTTTTGATTTGTTTCGTTTTTTTCGCTTTCATTTCTCTTCCTCTTTGATTGACATCGCATCAAGAACTTAAAGGTTAATGATGAATGTTCTTAATCTTTGTCTCTCTGTTTCATATACAAATTCCCAAACGAATTCTATGTGGATGCGGATATTGGGGCGTTGGGGCTGGGCTTCGGGTAGTCGAGCATAATTTATGCAAATTAAATGTCATATTTCTGCAGCGCAGATACACGCCCACACACACACACACACTCGCATACACTTAGTGGAGTACAGTTTTACTGCAGTCCATCCTGCTCACACTTATGCGAGCGCTAAGCTGTTACGCACCCGTTTCGAATCTGCCGGCTGCAGCTCATTTTTCAGCGAAGCGGACAGCCCAAGCAACTAGTGCGTATGTGTGTGTGTGTGGGAAAGAAAAAGTACAAGAAGAAGCAGAATCTTTCATTATGCCTGTAAGCATTGCAGCAGACGTCGAGCACAAGAGCAAGAGCAACAAAAACAAGAACAAGAATAAGCAGAAGCACAAGCACAAGCACAAGCCAAACGCACGCTTGAACAACTTGAGCCATTTACTATTCGCCCGTTTGGCCCGTTTCGCTCAGCAGCTCACTCGCACGCCCACTGCGCTTACCCGCTTACCCGCTTGCTGCGCCGCTGCGCCGCTGCTGGCGCTGCTTTTGCATATGCAAAAGGTTAAAAACTTTACCAAAATGCAGTTGTTAGCGAACTGCCGGCTCTGTCTGGGGCAACATCTTTTTGGCAGTTTTTGTTGCGGCTACAACTTGCAGCATGATAAAGCCAAAGGCAGCATAAGCATTGGCGACTGCTGCTTGCTTTCATTGAGCTGTCAGTCCGTTAGTTTTGTGTGCGTGCTGGTATGAGTGCAAGCGCGTGTGCCTGTGTTTGTGTGTGTGGTGACTAAATTTGGTTTGATGAATTGCTTGCCTGCCAAGTAAACGAGATACACACACTCGCACGCACGCCCAAGCACACACAAACACACACATGCAGACACTTTTTAATGAAATAAAAACTTTTTGGCAAAGTGAATTTTACTGTTTCGTCGAGAAGACGCTCGATGACAACACACAACTTGCAACTAACCCAAGCCCCGCTCCTTGTGCCACAGCTGTGTGTGTTATGTCAGTAAGCAACAACAACAGGAGGCACTCATCTACTCACACACACTCGCACACTCAATGGTGTGTGAGCGAGCGTGTGTTCGTGTGCTCATATACAAAACCGCCGAAAGCTGCCGCTGATGATGATAATAAGACGCTGACAACCGCAGCAACAACAGCAAAACATGCGACAATTTTGTGGAATCTGTTGCAGGCTCGATGGGCGAGAGCAGGAGAGGGGCGCATTGAGTACATGGTCAGGGTGGGGCGTACTACATTGACACAAGTGTTTCAAATTACAAGCCGCCGAGGCAATAGCAATGCGTCGTCCATCAACAACTACTACATAGAACGTGCGACAACTGCCACGCCTGCCCCAAGTATGCAACACTTTTTGTTGTGGCTGCTGCTGCTGCTGCTGCTGCTGTTTGTTGTCTGTCTGTTGTCTTGCTGTCTGCTGCCACTTTGCTGCTTGTAAAACGCGCGCGTCTTTTGTTATCTTTCTTCTGTGTGTTCGAGCACAAATGTATGCCACACATGTGCGTGTGTGCGTGCGTGTGTGTGTGTGTGTTTTGCACTTGTACTTGTACTTGATGATTGTGCCTAGGCTGTTGCTTAAGTTGTTCCGGTTTGTAATGAAGTTTGCATGTGCTGAGCACAGGCTGTCATGTGCTCCCTCTCTTCCCTCTCTCAATCACTCACCACTCTCTATGCTCTCTTTCTGTGTTTGTGTGTGTGTGTGCGTGTGTGTGTTGTAAGAAAAGGCCGCTTAATTGCTCTATTTGGTACTTTTAAATTGTATTTTAATTTCAAATTTCCCCCGCCAGAGGGCGAGCCGCTTTGTCTTCAATATTCTGTTTTTTTTTTTTTGTTGGTACTTTATACATTTGTATGTATGTATATCTATATATGTTTTCTTTTCTGTATTCTTTTTTTTTTTTTTTTTTTTTTTTTTGTTAAATTACTGCGGTTTATTGTTTTATGCGCTCACAAACTTGTATCTATTTAAATTTTGTGTATGGTAACATGTTTATTTTATAACCTTAAGGCAACAGCAACAGCAGCAGCAGCGCAGCAGCCGAGTGAATGACAGCCGCATAGGCCATGGGAGAGGCGGTTGGGGGCGCGGCTGGGGTACTTTGTGTTGGCAACAAGCGGCAAGCTTCATGTTTGGCGGAAGTTTAATTGAATGCGTCGCTTGCTGATACACAGCTACGAGTTGTGTTTAAGTTGTGTGGGAGGGAGAGAGAGAGAGAGTGAGAGAGCTTGCGTGTGAGTGTGTTGTGGCTGTGTTTGTCCGCTTGTTATGTGAAGCCAGTTAGCCGCATAACATTTGCCGCACAGTTCGCTAAAAAACAAATGGCAATCAAGTGAAATTGTAAGAGAGAGAGAGAGAGAGAGAGAGAGAGAGAGGGAGTCTAAAAGAAAGAGTATGTGTGTTAGAGAGAGACATGCAAAATTTCATGCAAAATTTCACTCAAGTTTTTTGATTTAATAATAAAAAATATCCACACACGCAAACGCACATACACACACATTCCCACACACACACACACACACTAAAGCACTCGCACTTAAAAGTTTTGTGCCACTTGCAGCTGTAATCTTAACGTCAGCCTCTGTTGCTGCTGTAACAGGATGGAATATAAAAATTAAATAAAGACATATGAGATTACAAAATGCTCAAACAAAGCCGAAAACTGAAATTCAATTATGGCCGCCTTCTGGTTGCAAGCAGCATAGGCTTGTGGCAAGTTCTTCTTCTTCTTCTTCTTGCTGTTTGTTGTTGTTGTTGCTGCTGTTGATGTTGCTGTTGTTGCACCTGTATGAAGAGCCAGGCAGACACATTTAATTGCGTATTGACACTTGACACATAAGGCAGACATAAAACGACAGGAATATTGTATGTGCAACGTGCCACATGCCACCAATGCCGGACAGTCGGCTGCTGCCTCAATGCCTCAATTGATTTTAATTGAATTTTAATTTCATTTGTATTCGAATTTAGATGAAATATTTTGCATTTTCTCGCTCTGATTGAATTGAAAAGCGTCCACATATATTTCTTTGCCATTTGCCACTTGCCACACACACACACACGCACACGCACAGCTAAAATCATATACATATACATATATTTATTTAGTTCTTTACATCTTAGTGAATTTTAATTAAGAACTTCATTGTTTTGGGGGCTGCAACAATAAACACTCGACAAACATGAAAACAGGCCAAAAATCAAGACATGCAATATACTAAATACACACACACACATACACACATATATACATATATATATATATATATTGATTCAATGTTGAAATTTGTATAAAACTTAATTTATAACTTACAAATTTAACGA